TATTGTGCTGAACATTGCATTGGCATTTTAAGCTTGCTGAATATAATCAATGTCATGAATCATTGCCCTGTCATTATAACTGGCATATCAGATATTCATAGACAACCATTAGGACATTCTAGTCATAGGTAATATTCTATTTTGACTGGCATTTTTATTGGCATATTTTAGGGACGCTTCTGTAGTAGTGCTGCTTATTTTTCATTTTACTGTTTCTATACCACTAACACTACACATTGTTAAAGTGTTCTATTCCAAAAACATACAAGGCACTTTAATTATTGAGGATAATATTATATTTCTTTGTAGCATTAAGTTCTTAGTTTTTTTATAGGGATAAATGTGTCTATAGTAGGATATTGTGCAGCAAGCTGACACTTTCAGCCAAATCTAATAGGTTACAACTTACAATATCCTAAAGGGCTGCACTATCATATAAACCAATGTGCAAACAATTATATTATAATTAAATAATAATTGTAATATTAGAATTACATTATAGTGACGTCAAACCAATATGCATATTCTTATGATAATAACATCCAAAATTTATATCTCTTAGTGCACTGTGAACCGATAATAAATATTTCCATGTTTCAGTCCTTCTGTGTAGAACAGTGTAAAATAAACAAAATTATTAACCTTCACTAAAAATGTCACCAAAAGTCCCACTGTGCCTGTGAAAGGAATTCCACCACCAAAAGCAAAGAATGGCTGCTCACCTTATAATATGGACCTTTTTCTTTTGCTTTTGTGTTAAAAACAGTGGAAGAAAAACACATGACCATACAGTATATTCCTATGGAACCCTTCACACTGATCCATTGAGAGTCAGGTGCATTTTTTTCAAAATCCTGCTTACTGCGTTTTTGGTGAAGGTTTGGTATGGTAAAAAAAATACACTAAAAACTTACTTCCCCATTGAAATGAATGGAAAACCTGTCAAAAATGCACCCGTGGTGCATTTTTTAGTGCGTTTTTTGAGTCACGTCATGTTAAAAATAAGTAATATGCATTTTGGTCATGTTTTTGAAGGTGCCTGGCTCTCAAAAGTTAAAATTCTCTTCTCTTCAGAATAACTCCAAGGTGGGAAAATTATAGCCTGCCAAACATAAAATGTGGACTGCAGATCATAGTTTTTGGGAATAGGACTACAAGTAACCTGTCTAAAATGGCCCGGGCTGCAATTTTTCAACCTAAGGAGCCAGAGTAGCAAACCAGTGGATTTAGGTATTTATGGCATCTACAGTAGCTTAGTTTTTTTTTTAATTACAGGAGTAGTAGGAGGTGGCCAGGGGTAAAATTTATAGGAGCAGACCCTGACTGGAGAGAAGCTTTAATATATATGTGCACATATTTTTTATTTAGTTTCAAATGTCCATTGCGTATATGCTAATTGTCAGAATAAAGGCCTTGGTTTTGGGCAGTATATTATTACACACACATATTTAATATTCTTAATAGGTTAGGTTTCCTGAAGAGATTATGGCTTTCTTCATCCTTTGTTCATAAATATACAATTTATCTATCTATCTATCTATCTATCTATCTATCTATCTATCTATCTATCTATCTATCCTTATGACGTTTGAGTGACTGTCTGTTCTGCTGTATAAAGCATCCATTTCAAGGCACTTGTGAATAAGTTAACAGAAAGGTCTCTTTCTGTATATTTCAGCACATATGACACACTGGACTGGATAAGTATCCAAAACAAGGAATGTTTCTTTATTACAACAGTGCAATCATACTGGGATTCATATTATAGTATTTCTTCAACTCTGCAAGAAAGTAATTACTTCTTGCATTCATTAATCTATTTTTTGTCCTGGAGAGGTGAAATCTACTATTTGCATTTGTATTTTAACATATCTCTCAGCAGGGAAAAGTGACCCACCACAATATGATGCGTGTTTCAATGTATGAATTTTACTGTGCTATAATTACAAAATATTGCAATAAACCAGGATTTCTTCTGACGGATCAAGTTGATGTACACAATGAGAAACTTTAGGATTTTGAAATCAACATCTGTAATATATATTTAGCATTGCGTAAGTAGACAAATGCAGAGTGCAATCAGCCATAATGCTAGCACATCACATTTTCTGAATTCATCTGCAATATTAGGTATAATTCTGGGGCTGTGGAAATATCATAAATTTGTGATTATAGAGGAGCCATGCTGTGTGGTTGGAGAGAAAAATTGTATATAGAAACAATATTCAAACGTATCCAGTTATTTACAACTCCTGAATCCTGCATGTGCATATAACTTATTTCTAAATCTTTCTGTCAAGAAGTTTCAACCTATAAAACCTTTATTTGTATGTTTTACCCCTTTAAAACACATTTTGGATCTTCATTTTCCCATATGCTGCAAACTTCCAATTTGTTCACTTCCATGATGTTGCTATCTTAGCTTGGGGCAAGCTAAACAGCATATCTTTTTGAGATTTCCTAGAATAAATTATGTATCTAATAATATAGTCTCAAGGTTTTTTATTTTATGCTGTTTGCTATTAATTGTTCAGGAGCATTGGCATATCATGGTACTCCTGGAAAGCAGTTGACTTGCCTATTAATTTGCCAGGTCGTCTATCACCTCATATTGAGTCACCTGTTGACACTTTTGTGTCTGCTTCATTTGTGCCCTAAGTTTGAGCTTGTACTATTGAGCTTTGTAAAAACATACATTTTATACAGAGTTAAGGGGAAAACCTGAAAAGGGGCTTTAAATACTGATTTAGAAGGGAAATACTAGATATTAATAGTGATATATGTTAATATTTTATACTTGCCTTACTCATTCTTGAGTATTTGAGGTAAGATGGGAAATGTGTGCAGGTCCATTGAAGCACAGAAAGCATATGGCTTACTATGCATTGGCAACACTTTTTTTCAGTTTTGAATAGAGTATGAAAAGGTTAAACCTCTTGTCAGACCATTATTTGCTTTCTGTGACTCACTGGAGAGATTCCCCTTTACTTCCTGTCCTGAAGATGCCACATGAAATAAGAGAAGATCTCTCCAAGTCATGAAAATTCCTATTTTAGAAAGTTGTCACGGGGACAGATATCTCCTTTGGAGGATTTATCCTTGCTCAGGTCACAAATCTAAATATTTAATTTTCCTCTAACTTTCAGTCTCAGTGATAAGGCTTACCAGGAGGAATAGAGAAGTTTAATTGTTAAAACACAGTAAATATGCATCATAATTAAACCACCTAAAAAGTGAAGATGAAAATGACCAAGAATAGTCTGTATTTTAATTCTAAATATTTTTAAATGAGATGATCCTTGAGTGATGGCCCCCATGGGCTGTTTATAAATACAGTTTATTTAAAATTGCTTTACCCTACTGTGTCAAAACTATCTGTTTCTATCTAGTCTTGACACATTCACAATGGTGATTGTCAGTGGAATGTGTCCTCATTGGTTAAATACTTTAAACAGTGTTGACCTAAACATAAGCTGAGCATATGCAGGTGAAATCCTGGTGATATGCAAGGATGGAGAGACAACATTTTCAGTAAATGTATTTTTCTTAAAGAGAAGCTAAATGCAAATATTGTCACAAAGAGAGAATTCCTAATTTCCAACATTGCCCCAGTCAGAAAGAATACACTATTTCCCTTTAATCTGAGTTTAAGATAATCAATTGCTGCCAAAGTAGTTTGAATGGAACTGCAACCTTTTGTCACCTAATTGTGTGCAGCACAATTTTCTTTATGGAAACTGTAGAAGGTGGTGGTCAGAAACTTGAAACACTTGGCCTACACCAGGTTTGATTTATGGCCAGTCAAGAATACAAGATGAATGACAGAATGAAAAATTGAGCCACTTGGCAAACAGATCCGGTCTGTCACTACATGGGCTGTTCATGGGCCTAACCTAGTAGCAGAATCGCACTTACTGATGATGCTTGTTGATGTGTTTGTTAAATCCATGAATAATGCTGTCACCTAATTTTCTATAATAGAGATGTTTGCTGCACAATAGAAAATGTCAAACCTTTAAAATAACCTTTAAAATAAGACAGATAGTAAAGGCAAATACTGCAGCTACATTATAGGACATTTTCTTCCAAAAACTAATTATTACTACAAAGTATAATGGAAAATGCTGTTTTACAGAGTAGCTTCTAATGCTGCCCTAGAGCCGATCATGCACATAGCTACAATCACATTAGATACAAGAGAACAAAATCTGTTTAAAGAACAACTAAACTCAAGAAACAAATATTGCAGCTTACCAGTCTCTAGGGGTGGTGGCTGCATTATTTTTTTTATTTTTCAGAAAATCTTTGGCAAGTGTGGACCAAATGTATTGATCCTGAGAGAAATTCAGTGTCCTTGTTACTTCATATAAGCTGAGAAGAAAGCACAAGCAGTGTTATCTTTCTTGTATAAAACGTTTAGTCCAGTCAATCCACTATGTAATGGACATGAACAAAGGCACACATACACTATAATGCCAAAACTATTGGGATGCCTGCCTTTACATGCACATGAACAGGCATTGCAGTCTAGGGTTCAGTATTGAGTTGGCCCACCCTTTGCAGCTATAACAGCTTCAACTCTTCTGGGAAGGCTGTCACAAAGTTTAGGAGTGTGTCTATGGGAATGTTTGACCATTCTGCCTGAATGCACATTTGTGAGGTCAGGCATTGATGTCAGATGAAAAGGCCTGGCTCGCAGTCTCCGCTCTAATTCATCTCAGTGGTGTTCTATCAGGTTGAGATCAGGACTCTGTGCAGTCCAGTCAAGTCCCTCATCCCGAACTCTCTCATCCATGTTTTTGTGGACCTTGCTTTGTGCACTGGTGTGCAGTCATGTTGGAACAGGAAGGGGCCATCCCCAAACTGTTCCCACAAAGCTGGGAGCAGAAATTGTCCAATGTGTATTGGTATGCTGACACCTTAAGAGTTTCCTTCACTGGAACTAAGGGGCCAAGCCCAACCCCTGAAAAACAACCCCACACCACAATCCCCCTTCCACCAAGCTTTACACTTGGCACAATGCAGGCAGGCAAGTACCTCAAAACCCAGACATGTCCATCGGATTGCCAGACAGAGAAGAGTGATTCATCACTCCAGAGAACACATCTCCACTGCTCTAGAGTCCAGTGGCAGTGTGCTTTACACCACTGCATCTGACACTTTGCATTACACTCAGTGAAGTAAGGCCTGGATTCAGCTGTTCGGCCATGGAAACCCATTCCATGAAGCTCTCTTCTAACTGTTGTTGTGCTAATCTGAAGGCCACATGAAGGTTGGAGGTCTTTAGCTATTGACTATACAGAAATGGTGATTTCTGTGCACTGTGCATTTCAGCATGTGCTGACCCCGCTCTGTCATTTTACATGGCCTACCACTTCGTGGCTGAGTTGCTGTTGTTCCCAGTTGCTTCCACTTTGTTATAATACCACTAACAGTTGACCGTGGAATATTTAGTAGCAAGGAAATTTCACAGATGGACTTATTGCACAAGTGGCAACCTATCACGTTACCACACTTAAATTCACTGAGCTCCTGAAAGCACCCCATTCTTTCACAAATATTTGTAGAACCAGTCTGCATGCCTAGGTGCTTGATTTTATACACATATGGTCATGGAGGTGATTGGAACGCCTGAATCCAATGGTGTGGAGGCGTGTCCCAATACTTTTGGCAATATAGTGTATTTTTGTCCAGCCTAGGTGGTGACTATGGCTCCTTTCATAGATATAAGGAAAAAATCAGTGTTGACCCAATGGCACAGGGTGTAGATTATTTGCAGGTTTATCAGGTGAAAATAATTGGAAAATATCCCCCAAAAATAAACGGTTTGCATCTACCATATCCAAGGCCTAAGTAGCTGCGATAAATTATATTTTTGGCTTTGGATCTAATATTATTATTAATAATAATTATAATAAACAGGATTTATATAGCACCAACAGTTTACACAGCGCTTTACAACATGAGAGCAGACAGTACAGTTACAATACAATTCAATACAGGAAGAATCAGAGGGCCCTGCTTTTTAGAGCTTACAATCTAAAAGGATTTGGATACACTTTTTGATTGCACTTTCAGGAGCATGTCTTCCATCTTCTAAGTATTACTACAATGTTTTATGTAACTCCTAATGCTCTTTTAGAGCTGTTTTATGTACATAACTACTATGGCAGTCAGCACATGAGACCCAACTGTGTTTATTTTTTTCTTATTGATATTAATAATGGTATCTTGATAGCTGACCATTGATGCATTTTTTTTCCTCTTTTCTTTAGGTAAGTGACGTTTTACATCACCCTGCCAGAACCAGACACCACAGAGCTTGTGCAATTTGCTATTTGACATCTTTATGTTTTATTTGTTCCTGTTCTCCAAATAAATTGCAGCACGTTTTCAAGAAGGAGCTCTAATCAAAATTTTGTCTTGAAATATCTAAGCATATGGCTATACTACACCCTAACAATCTATTTTTAATGCAAATCTATTTTGTACAAATCCTGGCACCTTGTGGATGAGTGGAAGCCGTCATGTAAGCACCACAGAAGCACAGCCTTGTGAATAAAAATGCCAACTTTCAACTGTTTATTCTGGAAATGTTCCGCTGGCACTGGAAACAGTTTCTGGCAAGCTCTGGTTATGTGAAGAGCTTATGTGGGCTCTTTATTTTCAGCCAATTCCACAAGTACTATTGAAAGCTGAGGCTAGAGAACATCTTGTCAGGGCTTCAGTAAGTAAAGAGTAAAAATATCTGTGCATCTCCAATCATCCAAATATTAAGTTAATTTGCATTTGCAAATTAAGAATTTCTTCTCCCTAAATGAGACCAGATTTTATTTTACTGCAGGTTTTAGCAGATTGAATAGTGGTTGCAATGGTAATTTTGCAGATGCTTATGCTTTTCCTTCCGCTAGTATTACAGCAAGCAAAATACGTCTTAACTTACTATTATTTTTCAGAATGGCATTAGGTGTAGAGAATGCATTGCTTTAAACATGTTGATTAAGGCATGTTCAAACATTTCTTGTGTCAGCAGTTGTACTGAACTAGAAATCTCCTATCGTAAATTTCTACGTGGGTTAAGCATACATACACAAACAGCACTTGCAGATACTGCTAAAAGCTGGCCACATATTGTACTGTTCCTCTACAATAAATCTTCTTCATGTGGTGCTCCTCTATGTGATTTTTCAATGGCTGCTTTCAGTGGTGTATTTAGGTTTTGTGCTGCAAGCAACACAAAAATTGACCCCCCCCCCCAGCCCCCATCCAAGAGAGCCTTCTACTACCACCACCCCCCATACACTAGAAACCCCCCCCCCCCCACTCCGGCAAGAGATAAGACACTCACCTTCACAGCTCCGGACACCCCCGAAAACTAGAGTCAGGCTCTGCATACACCATCAAGCAGCCCACTGCCTCTCTCAGATCCCACTTTGTCCCCATGCTGCATGTGCCCCTGCTTCCATCCATTTTTTTGGGGGGGGTGGTGCTGCCCCTCTGAAAAATGCTGCTGCCCCCCTGAAAAATGCCGCCCTAGGCAAATGCCTTGTTTGCCTTGTGGTAAATACACCTCTGGCTGCTTCCCTGTAGCATGACCCTCACCACTTCTCCAGGAAAAGGAAGTTATACATTTCCTAAAACTCTCTGGAAATATGTAATTTTCTCCTTATCACAAAGAGTTCAATTAACTGTTCAACCCACATTAAACTTGCTTGCTCCCTCTTCTTCTTACAGAGTGAATTAGATGTTACAGTATATCTGTACACAATCCCAAGAAAATGCCACATTTTGCACAAGCTTTTTATATGATGAAGTAGCCTACCCAACACCCTAACAAGTGTATATAAAGTAATTTCCTACCTTATTGATGGAAGGGAGAGGAAATCTCAAAGTAAGGAAAATCCTCTCTTAGACAAGTGTTCGCAGAACAATGTCTCAGTTTACACCTATTCTTTTTCCAGTGACAAAATCAAATTTTGGATTTGGATTAATAGTAGCCACCAGGCAAAAAGGCAGGGTTATTTGCCCCAGCAGGGCCAAAGACAAAAAAAAATAATAGAGGTTCTAACCTTTCCCTAATCTATGCAGAACAAAAAAAAAATAAAGTTTTGCATTTAGATACACTTTATATTGGTTATGTGTTCAAAGCTTTGAGGTGCTCCTGCATTGTAACACATTGGTTAAGACTATGAGTAGCTGTGGTGACACACTTTGCCAAGGCATGGAATAATGTTGTCACTATCAGACAATCTGTCCAGATTAATGATGTGCAGCTGACCCTGGGACAAGCGCATGTAAACAAGAAGTTGATATCAGCAGCATTGAGATGTAAGAAAGGATTGAAATAAAGGTTTACAACATATATAAGTACATTGTTTTAATCCTCATAAAAAGGAAAGCCTATATAAAAGGCCAGTATACATTTAAAAACACCTAGCTAAATTTAGTCTCAAACAACTACAGTAGGTTCAATACGATACCCATGTTTCATAATTATGTGCTTACTTGCTTCAATTGCTTGACCTTTATACTGTTTCCCACAGCTACAAGTGATCGTATAAATCATTTTCTTAGTATATCAGTTCATTAGACAAAAACAGGAAGGGGGTAACTTATATATGGGTGAAAATACAACATATGTGACTGGCAGTTAAATGAGAGCTTGTAAGTTCCTGCCTACCACAGAGATTTAAAATGTTGTACTAAAGTGGAAGAAGTATGATTAGGAGGAAGTAATTTCTCTAAACACATCGAGGAGATTATACTGATAACAAGGGTAGTGCCTAACTTTGGAATAATACATGAGGACCTGCTTATAACTTGGCTACTATTGAAGAGAACAGTCCTTTAACATCTTGACGTAAGCCACATGCAAATGTGCGGCCTACTGGCGCCTGGGCCTTGACGCATTTGCGTGCAATTGCGCGCTCCCAGCACACATTTCCGGTACTCACGGAAAGGTCCCGATCTCCTCTTGCGATCGGGACCTTTCCCGATCATGTGACCGCTGTGACAGCAAATCACATCCCAACGGTCACATGATCCTAAAACCCCCGCCCCGCCTCTCGGCTTCTGAAACCCTTAAAGGGCCGGGAGGATCCGGTTGCCAAGGGGTTAAGATCTGATGTTACTGATACCTTAAAGAAGCAGCTGATCTTTTTCCTGTTTAGTGGCATACCCTGCCTTGTTCTGCACTGTGTGTCTGTGTAGAGGTGGCCATCTTGGTAGAGACTGGGCTCTGCTTCCTCATGTTAAAGCCTCCAACAAAGAACAGTGAGCAGAACAGTAGTGACATCATGAAATCTCACAACAAATCTCCTGTGACCAGTAGTCAGAGGCAGTAGGACCTCACATTGCAGCTATGGGGTTATAGGCACAAGAGTGTCTAGGCATGCTCACATACCAGGAAGTACATTGCTATTTTCAGAAGGAATTGCAGACAAAAAGTAATTGTAAGCAGAGTACTGCATTGGCACAATTAAAATGGAAATAGAGTTCTGCTGTAACACACTGTGAGCAGGCAGGTTTTTATTGCAGAAGAGAAAGGCAACGTCTCTTCTTCAATATATTATACATATCTGCCTAATCCCAGCAATCCCTTGAATGTAAGCTGAGCTGCGCATGTGCAGCTCCGATTACAGTAGCCGGTCCAAACCTGTGTGCTGGGATGACTAGCTCCTGCCCAGAAAGAATGCCATACTGAACTGACCAATGAAAAGGCCCAAAAATGGGAACACAGGAGAAGATTCCAGCACCAAAGGGACCATTGGAAAGGTGAGTACCTCTACCTTTAGTTCTATTTTAACATTCATAGATGTTCCTTATAACATAGGAGTTCAGGTCCACTTTATTTGTCTACCTGATGTTACCCTTATGTAAATTGATTAAAATAAAGCACACGCTGTTTGTGTTTACTCATGTATTCATACACACTTTGGACGTGCAAGAACTTTATACTTTTTGTATCCTTTATTTACTGATGTGTCTCTCTTAGCTGTTTTATTGCATTGGTGCTTTTAAAAAGTAAAAGGAATTGAAGATATTTTCTTCATTGCAAAACTTTAGTTAGCCACTACATTATATTATTTAAAGGAGAACCAATGCTTTCAATGGTGTTAACTTTAGAACCTCCTACCTTTATCCTTTTAATGTCATTAATACTACTAACTACAGATGTCAACTTACAAGCCTGCAGGGAAGCAATTTCTCCATTAAGCACCTTTTTGCTAGAAAATTACTTAGAACCCTAGAGAATAAAATGGTGGGTGTTGCAAATTTTTTTCACATGGTATTTGCGTAGTGGTTTTTCAAATGCAATTTGTTTTTTAAATACACTTTCATGAAATCTAATGCACAAGAACACAATAAAATACCCAATTTTTGATAAAATGTAACAGATGATGTTACGATGCTTTAAAATTGCATACACCCATGGAATGGTGACAAACTACGAAACCTAAAAATCTCCATAGGCAACACTTTAAAAGCCCTTACAGGTTACCGGTTTAGAGATACACAGGAGGTCTGTTAGATTTATTGTTCTCACTATAACATTTGTGGCAATACATGTGTGTGGTGCGAACACTGTGCAGGAC